TTTTATCTGCAAACATCTGATATTATCCGCAAACATCTGCATTTATCCGCGAACGCCTCCTTTAATCCGCAAACATCTGTTTTAATCCGCAAACATCTGATTCTATCTGCAAACATCTGCTTTTATCCGCAAACATCTGTTTTAATCTCCAAACATCTGCTTTTATCCGCAAACATCTATTTTAATCTGCAAACATCTGCTTTTATCCGCAAACAATTGATTTTATCCGCAAACATATGCTTTTATCCGCAAACATCTGTTTTAATCTCCAAACATCTGCTTTTATCCGCAAACATCTATTTTAATCTGCAAACATCTGCTTTTATCCGCAAACAATTGATTTTATCCGCAAACATATGCTTTTATCCGCAAACATCTGATTTTACCCTCAAACATCTTTTTTTATCTGCAAACATCTGATATTATCCGCAAACATCTGCATTTATCCGCGAACGCCTCCTTTAATCCGCAAACATCTGTTTTAATCCGCAAACATCTGATTCTATCTGCAAACATCTGCTTTTATCCGCAAACATCTGTTTTAATCTCCAAACATCTGCTTTTATCCGCAAACATCTATTTTAATCTGCAAACATCTGCTTTTATCCGCAAACAATTGATTTTATCCGCAAACATATATGCTTTTATCCGCAAATATCTGCTTTTATCCGCGAACATCTGCAAACATCTGCTTTTAATTGCAAACCTCTGCTTTCATCCGCGTTCGGTTTGCCTGCATTTCCTTTGTCCATTTCGGTCCTGTTTCGTACGCAAACGTCTGGTTTCATTAGCGCTTTTTGTTTTCCTTTTTCTCGTGTATACTTTAGTTTAGTTTACCTGCTTTGTCAAATTTTACTGGGCTTTAACTAACTGGTTGTTAGCCGTTCACGGCACACAACTTTATAACTCTAAAAGGAATTATTGGAATAACCCTGCTGAAAAAAAACTGATCGAAAATGGATCGAGTTTAAATCTCGATCCTTTTTGATCATTTTTGATAAGGGTTTTGTCTCCTGTTTTCGTGATCAAAAAGGATCGAGTTTCGATATTTGCGGATAAATGCAGATGTTTGCGGATAAAAGCAGATATTTGCGGATAAAAGCAGATGTTTGCGTATAAAATCAGATGTTTGCAGATAAAAGCAGATGTTTTCGGATAAAAGCAGATGTTTGCCTATAAAATCAGATGTTTGCGGATAAAAGCAGATGTTTGCCGATAAAAGCAGATGTTTGCGGATAATATCAGGCGTTCGCAGATAAAAGCATGTTTGCGGGTGAAACCGTATGAAAGGAGACGTTCGCGGGTAAAAGCAGATGTTCGCATGTGATTGCAGATGTTCGCGGATAAAAGCAGTTGTTCGCGGGTGATTGCAGATGTTCGCGGGTGATTGCAGATGTTCGCGGATAAAAACAGTTGTTCGCGGGTAATTGCAGATGTTCGCATATGTTGGCGGGTGAAATTGGACTAGGCAGACGTTTGCGGGTAAAAGCATATGCTCGCGGATAAACCCAGACGTAAGCAGACGTTTGCAGATGATTCCGGACAAATTCAGATATAATCGAAACACAGTGAAGACGGTTAAAAACAGATGATTGCGGAGGTGCCACTAACCGGACATAAAACACAACCAACCGGGTGTTCGCGGATATAGCGATGCGGACAAAAGCAGATGTTATCAGATGATATTTTAACCCGCTTTTATCCGGCTTCGACGAAGAATTTATACCCGCAATCATCTGATTTTATCCGGTTTTGACGAAGAAACCCGCAATCATCCGTCATTTTCAGCAGGGATTGGAAATTGTAATCGCTTTAAAAATAAATTCTAAGCTTAATTTTGCGGAGCCTAATAAAGACATTTTATAGAATCCATATTAAAAAAATATGTATTTTTTTATAATTTTGTTTTGTTAGTACAGACGCGGCATTATCTCATTATCAATGGGTACTATTTTTACCTAGCTGCTCTTTAATTTTAGTATTAGTCTTTTTTTTATAAATGTGTTTTTTAATTATAATTTTTAATAATTATTTTATAAATAAACGCAGTCATTATTTATCTATGTTTTATTTATTAAAAAAAATAATAGTTTAGTATAATTTTTATTTATTTTATATATACACTTAATGTTTTGTCAAATTCAGTTTAATTTATTATTATAAATACCTATACCTAACCTATATTTTTAAAACTTCTGTATAGTGTTTATGAACACCAAATCTGCTAAAATTTCTTAGTATCTAATAAACCGTTTATTATAAAAATTTTATAATAAAATATTTCTACAGGTATTCATTTTAATGCCTTATAATAAACTATATAACTATAATTACTAATGTTAAAATTAACTAAACATTCAATTTTCTTAGTTTCTTTAAATCCACTGGTATTATTCAAAAGTGGAACGCACTCAAAATGAAAAGTCTGGCGAGGTGAAGGTTCAATTCTTTCTTTTAAAATACTATTTATATTATTTTCCTAAAAACGACAGTGCTAATCAACCGCGCTAAGCCTGAAAAACAAAATTATAATTAACCTGCAATTAGTAGATTACTTTTTACCATCTGTTATTAAATATTTAATTCATGTCTACATTACATTGATGACCACACTTACACTTTTTCTATGACTTACACTTTGTATTTGTATACCCATAGATACGTCTATTATTCTTAATAATACCTTTATTCAGGAGTCCAGTTATACCATATTCCTATATCATTATTTCATTAACGTATTAAAAATATAAGATTTCTCTGAATAAAGTACATTTACAGAAATACATACTCGTGGCATTAAATGGCCTCCGTACACTGTTGCCAAATTTCGGAGACTAGTTGATTAGAAAATATTCTGAGGTATATCAACTGGTATACTTATTTTTATATACATCTGTATATAACAGTGGCGCCCTCATCGGAAGAACGGTGAACCCGATTGTGTAACTGTAGGTGTATCCAAGTGGAATTGACCTCCAGGCTAAAATTTGCCACACGTCCTAAAATGACCTTGACTACCCATAGTAAAGAGATACACGTGCTTACCATTTGGCCTCCGATTTTTCGAATGCGGCTCCGATTTCGGAGCCGCTTTCTTCACAAAAGTATCTATTTCGGATGTGTATTAGCCGTTTTGCATATATATATATATATATATCGTCGCCTTCAGGAGAAAATCACGTAACTCCACATTTTCATTAAAATGGTATTTTAGTGGCATCTATTAGATAAAACTGTAACTAATTTATATGCAAGTTACAGAAGTCCTAAAATAAACCGTTAATTTTAAATTTAGAAAAAGAAATATACGTATCTCCAATCGTGGAGGAGCGTCCAGGGAATAATGCCTAACTCCAGAATACAAATCAGTTATTTTTTCTGCAAAGCCATTGTTTTCCAAAGTGAAATTTGTTAAAAGTAAGTATGAAAGATTGTATAGTGTGTAAAGTTAAGGTACCATGAATAATTTAAGGTTACTTTTATTAACATAAAGTGCAGATTGGAGATACGTAATTTTCCATTAAACAATTTTTTGGCGGTAATGTGGAGATACACCAATGCACCTTTAATATGTTTTTCTTTCCTCCTGTAAAATTTTACAACATGGAGTTAAGCAATTTTCTCCTGAAGGCGACGATATATATATATATATATATATATATATATATATATATATATATATATATATATATATATATATATATATATATATATATATATATATATATATATATATATATATATATATATATATATATATATATCAAATCAAATTAACATATTATTATTAGGTAAGTATATAGTGTTCTTAGTTTAAAAGCATTAATTTGATATGTTTTAAACTGCATAACATTACCTCATATTGTTAAATGCAATGTTTGGATTATAAACATCTAATCAGATTTCAATATAATAAACATAAAAATAACTGAGGAATAAAAACAACAAATTGTAATTAATACTTACAAATCCCAGAACTCACAAAATTGGAAATGTCGAACTAATCCATATGCTTTTGTCTATTTTCATGCTACTAAGACTTCTTATACGCATCGTTTTCAGTGCTACTAAAAGCTTCTTAGAAGCATCAAAGTTAGGGATTTCTTTTATTTCAGGCTGTTGGCAACCCTTTTAATTTTCATGTTAACGATGTGTTAAAAACTGGTCTTTTTGGTTGTGTTTATCAAAATTATATTATAAAATGTGAATAAAATCATTAGAAGAATTCCATTTCAACCATAATAATTATTAACCTAGTAAAATGTAACATGAATTAAAAAACAAGTACTATATACTAGGTTAATACAACTGACGTTAAGCAAAATGTCAAAATCACTTCAAATTGTATTTGGTTTATTTCGATGCTTCTAAGAGCACAGTTTAATAACACTTTTAAGAGTGGTCTTTTCTCTAATAAATTTGGGAAATTTACGTACATGTCGATCAGAAACATTTAAATTGCTTTATATTTCTCAAAAATCATCAAAAAAAATCTGACGTACTTGATTTTTTTCTTTTGGATTAACTGCTTTTGGATTTAATTTCTTCTTCATAATTATTTGTTTTAATAATCGAGAAGTTAAATGTTTAGTTTTTTTCATTGTTCAAATGTTGTTGTATGTTATTGATCAATGTGGTTGAGTTGCATTTGTGACCAATGCCTCTACCTATCAAAATTAATCACTTCGAGCATATCCTTTTATAATCTTGTGATTTTTTTTCTTAGTCAATGTGTATTTAAAAGATTACCTAGTGTCATGAAAACATATGTATGATAATGGGTGTTTTAAAGGTGGGAGTAGAAAAAAACTAATAAAAAATAAAGAATTTCTGTCGTAAGCATATTTTTCTTAATAACTGCCTTTTTTATTGGGACCGCATATTGTATACAATATGCGGTCCCAATAAAAAAGGCAGTTATTAAGAAAAATATGCTTAAGACAGAAATTCGTTATTTTTTATTAGTTTTTTTTCTATATAAATTTAAAAAAACGACTTACCGATGTCACATTTCTTCGCCTTTTTCTGATTACACAAAATAATGTGAACATTACGACCATGGTAAGAGAAACAAATCCTATTAGAATTATCAGGGGTGAAGACATGGCAGCGACTGATGTTACATCCAAATTGGGCTAAAATTATTAAAAAAATAATAATTAAAAAGTATTCCAAAGCACATTTTAATTTCAAATGTCAAAGTAACAATTCGTTAAATCCTTAAATTCATTATTTTTTCTCACTAAACATAACTCGTGGTATGATTATTAATCGATGATATTTACTCATCGAAACCGAAGCAGCACATTTCACTCGTCCTGCGGACTCGTGAAATCTGCTGACTCGGTTTCAATTAATTCAATCATACCACTTGTTATATTATGTGTGAAAATATTTTTTGATTTAAATTGGTTTAGATCCATGTTTATGTCGACTTTGTGTTTAAAATGTATTTTTTGGTGCTAATACTGAAGGAATTTTTCATTTATTATATCATTTAAAAGTAATTTAGCCCAAAAAATAATTTTGGCCGCCTTAATATTCAAAACCTACCTATGTGTGTCGTTTTAACACAGAACAAAATTAAGCAACCATATAACCCTGTAAAATAGTACAGAAATTGTATACAGTTTCACTACTATTTTACAGGGTTATATGTAGAAGAATAAAACGTATATTTTAGTTTTATTTGCCAAAAATGTAAAGTGGGCCTTTTTGATTTTACAAGACTCATGTATTTTTACTTACTGTGGTATTAACTATAGACGATGAAGTGCTTGAAACCATTGAGTTCGGAGGTTGCACACCAGGTATGGGTACCGGTCTTTGATCAACTAAAAAAAAATTAAAATATTACAAAATAAATTAAAAAAATACATTAAAAGTCAAAAGGCATTTCAACATGTTACAAACATTTTTTCACACGGCGCGCCGCGGCGATATAATTGTTACTTTGAATACTCTAAAACAGCTGTTAACATATGGCGTTTTTATGTGTTGACGCAAATTTGGATTACCTATTTTTTATTATAAATTCCTGTTTGACGTAAAAAAGTATTGCTCACTTCTCTGCAAATCTGATTTAGTGACCGAAGCGTAAAATGCCCGTTAAAAGCTAAAATGTTTCAGGTTTTATTTTTTATATAGATATTAAATTTTAAAATATATCAAATATATCCTTTATATAAAAGTTTTCTTATTTAAAAATATGTCTCTAAATTTTTTTATTTAGGTATTGACATATATTTTTCATTACTCCATGTATATCCTATCGAAAACATTGTTTGAACTATAAAATTTTTTACAATACCTACTAAAAAGTTAATTGTTTCAAAATAATTCAAAAAATTTAATCACCAAAAACATGAATGTATGTATATCACAATAGTTTCAGAAGTCGGCATTTTCCGAGGTTCCTACACTGAAAAAAATAATTTGTTTAAGCAACTAAAAAAAAGTTGCGCCAACAAATTTTATTTGTAGCTATAGCCTCAACTAAAATCTTTGTTACAACAACAAATTTTTTTTGTTGAGACATAAAATGTTACTGTAACTAATATTTTTTGTTGACAAAACTATGTCGTCTTGTTTAAAGTAACTAATATTATTGATATCTCATACAATATTATTTTGTTGTTAAAACAGTTTACATTTGTTTTAGGTAATAATTTATTTGTTTCTATAACTTTTTGCATTTGTTTTCATTATAAATCTATTTGTTTTTAAAACAAAATAATTTGTTGGAAAAGCTATGGTAATGAGTAACTACAACATTGTTGCTTTGTTGTTATAACATTTGGTAGTTCTTTTAATCACCAAAAAATATTTTTGTTAAAAGAACTTAAACAATATTAACCTATGCCTACACAATATTGTTAAAGCACCTCTTTCAGTATGTAATACTAATTAATAAAAAGAGTTGCAAAAACAATATTGTGTAGGTATAGGTTAATATTGTTTGATTTTTTTTAACAAAAATTATTTTGGTACCTTTAAAAGTATTTTCTAATGAAGAAAATATTTGGTTTACTCCTTCATCCATATATGGATGGATGGATTATAACGCCCAATGCACAAAAATAATTAACGCGAACCTGCTTCCTCTAGCATTTGCACAAAAATATTTTGACAGTGACAAATTATTTTTTTATTATTCAATCACTATGACACCAAGACTTAACTTTAAACATGGCACCAAGTCGGTCAACTTTATAAAATAAATTTCAATGTCACGTCATGTCAATTTTGGGCGAAAATTGACAACAAAAATATATTTGTTTTGTTTACTTAAGGATACCTATTAGCGGCGACGCATATTGTCAGTAGGGTAAACTAATTCTTTCCAACAAATTAATTTTTGTTGCAAATACTAATGTATTAAACACTTTACTTGGGTTAACTAATTTTTTATTAGGACCAACAAGAACAATTGCAACAAAAAATTTATTGGTTGATAAAACAGATTTGTTTTTTCAGTGTATACGCTAAAGAAGTATCGGGTTTTCGCAATCTGGTTGACTTCGAATGTATTGCGTGACTTTAAGAATTGTCAACAATAAATTTAAAGTACCGATTATACATCATGTTTTAAAAAATAGGTAATTTTTTTTACAAAAGAGAGGAAGGCAGAAGTCTTACTCGACAAATTTTGTTCAATTGCACAGCTAAATCGCGCACGTTATTTGTGTTTTACGTTGATTAAGAAACTCAACGCTTAAATGCTTATATAGTTACGTTAGTGTATGTATTTTATCAAAGGGATCATGGTGAATTATTGTGTTTTTAATTGTAAATAAAATTTAAGAACAAAATCGATGCATTTTCATGTTTTGCCAAAGGATCCAATTCGGTAAGTACATTTGTTGGTGCAGAATTAACTAATGATAACTTTACCTAATATAATTTATATTTAAGTTTTTGCACAAACATAACCTCAAAATCAATCATTTTTATATTAGAGTTCTCTAAAAAACGCAGACACCTAAATTTTAAACAACAAAATATAACTACGAATTCATGGCATTATAATATTATATATAATACATAATATAATGGTATTTTACCGTTGAGTGGATACTTCTTAATCAACGCTTTTAATAATGCTAAATGCTATTTAAATTTAGACGACTTATTTCTTTGACGATTTTTACTGAATTGAAATGTTTACACTTTTCACGTTAATCACTACTAAAATGTGTATTTATTGAATCTAATAGCTGGCCATACACAGACGTTATTGCGCGCGGTTTATCGTGTTATCTGCAAAAACATATGGAAAATCATGTACGTGAGTGAGTATCGCCGCGCGAAATGATAGAACGGGAAGGGATTTCAGACGTGCTTTTCTCTGGAGTGTGGCGTGTCCACACGCCACATTCCGCGTCACGGTTTACCTTTGCTTGGCAAAATTTCACGTTGAAAATTTGTACATGATCACATGCAGTTTCAAACGACTCGATAAATGACACTTTTTGCCCACTCACATACGATTTTTCCTTTGAAACTGATATACCACGGGCAATCACTTGCTAAATCATTTGAATACTTTATCAAGTGTATGGAACATGACGCTTTTTTTGCCATGCCGTTCTTTCGTGCATACTAACCGCTACATCCCAACACGCCACGATAAACCGCGTGAAATAACGCCTGTGTATGCCCAGCTAATAGCTGGCCATACGCAGACGTTATTGCGCGCGGTTTATCGTGTTATCTGCAAAAACATATGGAAAATCATGTACGTGAGTGAGTATCGCCGCGCGCAATGATAGAACGGGAAGGGATTTCAGACGTGCTTTCCTCTGGAGTGTGGAGTGTCCACACGCCACATTCCGCGTCACGGTTTACCTTTTTGCTTGGCAAAATTTCACGTTGAAAATTTGTACATGATCACATGCAGTTTCAAACGACTCGATAAATGACACTTTTTGCCCTCTCACATACGATTTTTCCTTTGAAACTGATATACCACGGGCAATCACTTGCTAAATCATTTGAATACTTTATCAAGTGTATGGGACATGACGCTTTTTTTGCCATGCCGTTCTTTCGTGCATACTAACCGCTACATCCCAACACGCCACGATAAACCGCGCGAAATAACGCCTGTGTATGGCCAGCTAATAGGTACAATTTATATTTACAGAGACTGCAGTCACATGTATGCAGTTTATTTGTTCATTCAGATTAACACTGTTTATTGGAAAACCGGTAAAAACTCAACCCAGGATTTCCTCTCGTCATAAACCCAACAACACAACAAATCGATCCACAGTTTTTTTTTCCGATATTTTTTAACATTTTCCGGCTTTATTCTCAAAAACACTCGTTTGTAACCTAAGCGTTTGACAGCTGATTATTAAAAGTTGTACTTTTGGAAACTTTTTGGAGAGAATGTCACATAGATATTCCTTCTTTTCAGAACCAATGAAAGCAGGAAAGTCGATATTTTGGTAGTTCAGGCCTCGTATAAATATTTAAAATTAAATTTAACTTGTTTTTATTCCTCCACAAATAATATCCGTTGGTTTAAAAAATATCTATATAAATTTTCATTTTATATTTAGTTTTAATGGTCAAGTTAAAAATTGATTTAGACTTTATAAATGACTATTTCCCTCGTCTTAATTTCCACCAATCACAAACGCGCAATTTTGAATTACAAATGGTTTCTAGGTGAAAAAACTGTGTGAAAGCACCTGTCAGCAGTTTTTTCGAGTTTACCCGCGGCAAAACTTGACAGCTGTTGTCACCAAAAATTGCAATTTATATTTTAATTGTTAACTGTTACTTATGAAATAGTCTTGTCAAATACCATTCGGGCATCTAATTTTTCCTGTGAAAAAAATCGAAAAAACACAATGCTAAGTAATATTTTTTAACCAAAAGCATTCGTGCAGGTGCAAAAATCCTCCTCTTCGACTCGGATTTTTGTTGCCACCAGCACTCATGCTTTTTGTTAAAATATCACTTAGCAACGTGTTTTTTCGATTCTTTTCGAAAAAATTAAATGCCCTTATGATATTACTTACGACTATTTCCCTCGTATTAATTTCCACCAATCACAAACGCGCAATTTTGAATTACAAATGGTTTCTAGGTGAAAAAAACTGTGTGACAGCACCTGTCAGCGGTTTTTTCGAGTTTACCCGCGGCAAAACTTGACAGCTGTTGTCACCAAAAATTGCAATTTATATTTTAATTGTTAACTGTTACTCATGAAATAGTCTTGTCAAATACCATTCGGGATCAAATTTTTCCTGTGAAAAAAATCGAAAAAACACAATGCTAAGTAATATTTTTTAACAAAATGCATTCGTGCAGGTGCAAAAATCCTCCTCTTCGACTCGGATTTTTGTTGCCACCAGCACTCATGCTTTTTGGTAAAATATTACTTAGCAACGTGTTTTTTCGATTTTTTTCGGAAAAATTAGATGCCCTTATGATATTACTTACGAAAATTTTGCAGTTAAAAAATATTTTCTTGGGGTACTTCTGATTTTGATAATATAATAAGTAAGTTAAAAAAAAACACAAATAAAAAAAAATAACAAAACATAGTTGGAATGATTCATGGGCATACCCCAGATGACATGTGTACATGCATGCCATCTTTATTTTGTTATACATAAGTGTACCTTCCTAATTTGAAATAGAATCTTGCAAGTAATACATAAATTTAAATATTAATGTTTGCCGGATCGGACCGCGCCTTAAAATTTAACGCGATTAGAAACCACATGGGTTAATTCAGATAGGATAATGTTAATTTCTTATACCCACCAATAATAATAAAAATATTAAGATATCTACTGGTTTAATTTTAAAGATGCTGTCGTACATCTACTATACAGGGTGTCCGGAAATTAATACAACAAAATTTGGTCACAGATTCTCTAGACAAATTTAGGGGACACGTATTTTTTAGTTGGCCCCCTTTTTCAGAGATAGAGCCCCCTAAAAGTCGCCCATAAGAATAGTCCTTTTCTTATATCTCAGATATATGAACATAAATATGTTCATATATCTGAGATATAAGAAAAGGACTAATATAACATAATATTAACATTAACATAATATTAACATTAACATGTAATTTTGTTTAAAAATAAATAAATTATGCATTTTTCAGTTCGTATGAAAAATAGGGGTAAAATTAAAATAAAACTGTCCTAGTTTTTTGAACTTTTTTTAACGGTTGAGAAACTGGCCTTTTTACCAATTCGAGGCCAAGAAGTCATGAGCCAACCTAGCAAAACAGTTTTCACCACTAAATCGCTTGGCCTTGAATTGGGTTAGTTTTTCAAAGATTAGATTTTTAAACTAGGACAGTAAATCAATAAAAATAAATCGAAGCCCCTTCGCATTATTCGCTGAGCGTAGCAACGCTATAATACACACCTATTCGCCTATTGCAAGTTCCATGTATACTAGGGGGCCTGGAATCGTGGGTACAAACGCACGTGTATGTTCCATTGTCAAATTGTTTGCATGCAGCGCCATCTGTACAAACGCCAACGTGACATTTTCCCGTATAATAGATGAATTTTCTTTCTTCTGGAAAAAAATAAAATTGTGTAAAAATCATTTCTTAAATTTTTACAAAAATTTTAAATACCATACAAAATCCAGTTAAAATAAGTATTTAAATTTTTAAAATATTATATACATTTTTTGGGTCTCTACATATATTTTTAATTTAAGAAAAATATACCAAAAACTCAGCATAACAATAAATCTAGTCATAATGAAAATAAATTGTATAATAAAAAATAAAATAAATTTAACAAAATAAAAATAAATTGTACAGCAAAAATTACACAAAATCTTTATTTATTTAAATAAAGAAAAACAAGGAATGCAACTTATTTTTAAAATCAGATGTTTCTTGTTACAATATGACATTACCAAGGCGGAAAGTAAATATTTAGGCGATACCTACATCGCGATAGAACAATGGAATTCGTTGCGGGACATAATTAAAATGTTTACATTAGGAAAGGGTTTGAAACTGAGAGTTTACATGTGAAGCATATGAATCAAACAAAAACTTTAAGTTTATTTGCATCGTTAATTTAATTTAATGGTTTGCTGAAATGCGATTCCCTGTTTTTTAAGTAATGTAAAATCAACTGGCGGTCTAAAAACAATTTGTTATTTATATCAGAGGCGTGTAGTAAGTATGTAATAGAAAAAATCAAAATTTAATACCTAACACACCTATAAGTTTGACTAAATAAACTAGGGTTAAAGAGATATATATTTGTGTGAAATTTTGTAAATTTATAACCACGCAGTGTCGGTTTAACAGGGGTTTTTTGGGAACTATAGCACCGGGCGTTAAATATTTTTGGGGCGGTACCGCGTACCACCCATAATTTTTTAAAAAAATACTTAATCGTTAGAATTTAGAAAAAAAATTATTGCGACACTGCGTCGGCGGATACAACGGATACAAATGAGAAAAATGTTGTTAGAGTTGAAGCAGCTTCTCCATCAGAAAAACTTGATTTATTATTTTAACTTTTTGGATAGACGTTTTGCAAAGGGTTAATGAAACCATAAAGCAGTCCAAAAACAAAATATGGATTTAAGCACAAATGCTCATCTTTTGTCATTTTTAGTTGAGAACTTTGATTTTTTACGTGATCATTTTTATCATTATGAGGAAATTAACAGGAAACGAAAATTATGCTCAGAAGCGGATAATCATAAGAAAATTACAATTTGAAGAAAATAATTCAGAGGCAAGTTTAAGCAAAAAAGAAACAATGCGAACAATATGTTTTATTTTAATAATTGACAATCTATAATCTGAAATCATTTGTCGATATGATAGCTAGAAATCTGGCACAAACAAATTTGAATTTTTGTTTAATCTAAGAGTATAAATCTTCGTGGAGGATTTGGATGAGTTTTTTCCTCAAAAATGTGTCCAACTTAAGACACTGGTAACTTCCCTTTCGGAAATAAAAATAGAAACTCCATTGGAATTAGTATAAGTTTTATACGAAAATAAATTAATATCTTCATTTTCGAATATTAATATTTGTCTGAGAATTTTTTTTTATAATGGTTTCAAATGCAAGTGGTGAACGATCTTTTTCTACTCTAAAAAGGGTAAAGAACTACCTAAGAAATACAATTCCCCAAGAAAGATTTAACTCCTTAGCACTTCTGTCCTGCTAGATGAAATAAATGTAAAGTGTTATAAAACAATTTGCTACTATAAAGGCTTGAAAACAACCTTTTAATTATTAGTATTTATTAGGATTTCTCAATATTTATTTAAACCAAAGAATAATGTTTTATTTATTTATAACTTTTGATTAGTTTTTATTAGTTTAATGAAACAAAATATTAAACTTTTATTTTTTAATTAGTTTTTCTTAGTACTTAGTATTGTTTATATAAACCAAAGAATGATTTATTTTTTAGTTAGTGCTTTTGATTAGTTTTTATAATTTGTTTATAAAGGCTCATTTTATATTTTATAGGATACTAAGTTTACTGTTAGATACCAGCATAACCAACCTAATCTTCCACTTGACGTGAGAAAGTAAGACTTAAAAATTTAAAAATGTTTTTAAAAAAGTAATATTTTAAAGGATTGGGCGTTGTGTTTGTGCCAGAACCGGGCGGCGAACTAACTTAAACCGGCACTGTAACCACGTTTAATTGTTTTTTTTACTTTTATCAAATTACCCATAATATGTTATGATATAGGTACCTATTTATTATTTGTAATAAATTAACAAAAAACATATGGGTTAAATTCAGTAAAAATTTAAATTTGTCTAATAGTATATTAAAGTACAAGTTGCAGAAGGCCACATATTCTCGCACGAATTCGAAATTTGGCCTCGAGCGACGAAGGAGCGAGTGGACGAACGAATGAGTGCGAGAATAGCCTTCTGCAACGTGTGATTTATACTATTTTCTCGATTTTAACTTTTATTTAGGTTTTTTTAATTGTTTTGTGGTCGTTGTTAGTTAGGGGATTTTTCTCGCAAAATGTCAGTTGGCAACACAAAATGACAATATTTGTTATCCTGCACAAGTACAACCTGAACTGCACTTTTACACATTAAACTTAAAATTTTGCATTAAAATGCATTGTTGGAGCAAACTTTATATTACAAAACAATAATAAAGGCTTCATTTTCAATAAAAGTAATGAATTTGAGGTTATTAATCAGTTTGACATTTTGGGGGTACCAATACTTAAAAACTAAATGTTACCAAAAATCGTTTAAGAATGAGCTTCATTCTTCAACGATTTTGCGTGCGAGAATATGACATTCTTACATAAAAATCGAGAAAATATTTTTTTTACGGTAAGAAAATAAATGACACGCATTTTTTTATTTTAAAATTATATGTAAAATTTTAAACTTTTGCCAACAAACATTAAAAGTTTGCTTATATTATTCTATTTACAAATGGTTGTATAAATATCGAATTTTCTAGTCCTAAAATTAAAAAAATTACCAAATTGTCCATATAATTTTGAAATAAAAAAATTATGTCATTTTTTTCGGATCCTAAACGTGTTAGTTTTTTTTATTTAAATAAAAGGGTTGCCACTCTAGTTAGGGATCTTTTATTTCGTTTAAAAGATCTTAATATTAAAAGCCATCTACTAAATGGCATTATTTTTAAAAATTATGTTTAGTTCATTAATTTTATGCTCATTGATTATGCATCAGCATAATGTAAAGCATTTTGAATATTAATTGTATGTAAAGTAATTTATAACAGGTCGCGATATAATAGTATATTATGTATCAAGTTCGATAAACGCCATTTTATCCACGAATTTAATTTAGCCACGAGCGAGCTTGCGGGTGATTGCTTGTTAATGAGTGTATAGAAAAGTTTATAAACGAGGTGCATACTATACTTTTTCTACGACAAATACTTATTATTATCTTAAAATGATTTAAATCAAAAATTTGTATAGAGCGCCATCTATAAAAAAACAGGGGAAACTGTCAAATGTCACATGTTTACAAACACAATTATAAAGGTTATAAATCGAAATGTATCTTGAAAATTGACAGTTTTTCACAGTGAAAGTAAAGGAAATGTTTTATGAGGACTTTACAGTAGAGTCCGTGCCCGAATTTAAGTTATAGTTTACTGCCGGCGAAATTAAAAGGTCAGTACAATGTTCAAATAAACTTTTCAAATATTGGCGTTGAGAAACTATTTAATATTTTTGTATTGAGATAATAAAATAATTTTCACAATTAGTATTATTTTACAAGAAAGGCACTTTATTTTAACGATTGTATGACATTTGACAACTATCAACCAACTTAAAACTAACTTCAGCTCGTGACTAAAGCGCCGTAAAGCCACAACTTGTTAATGTGTATTTAAAAGGTCACTTAGTGTCATGGAAACATGTACGATAAAGGGCGTTTTAAAGGTGGGAGTAGAAAAATATATTTTGTTATAAATGCAATTAATACTAAGAAATATCGATATTTCACTACATGGTGTTATTAAAATGCTTGACAAAACTTTACTAACCTGAAGTTTGGAACTGAAAAAAGTAAATATAGATGTGCTTACTTTAAATTAAAACTGTTACTTTTTGGGTTAAAAATTCTCAAAATCCTCATATTTTATTGAAATATGAAAAAACTTGCCTACCTGAATCCTAAAACGTCTTAACATTGGTTTTTGTAAAAGTTTATTTATTTCAATAATTGAGAAAGTTGGCCATTTCCATGAGGATAACTTATTCATCCGAATGGAAATGCCCATTTCTCAATAAGTTATCCTCATGGAAATGGCCAACTTTCTCAATAACATCTCAGGATAACATATTCATGCGAATGGAAATTCCCATTTCTCAAGAGTTGACACTATAGTGTATATTTACTTTTTTCAGTTCCAAACGTATATATACTAATTTGTATATATTTGTAATTGTATATACTCTAATTTTAGTACAATTTTGTGTAGTTACCATAACCACAGATTCGAATTAATTTTTAAGAAAATAAAGAATCACTAATCGTCATAGTAATGATAAATACTACCGTGAAGAAAATTAAAATCTCGACGTCTCATTGGACAGTAGGTAAACGTGGAAAAAGAGATCAATTTTCTACATAGTTTAGGACTGAGTCACTTTCTCAATTAAAAACGTATAGGAAATGTACAAATTCTTTAATGATTAGAAAAATAATCTTAAAACATTAAAATAACAAAAATAAACCCTATTTTTTGCGGCAGCATATTTTGATTTATTTATTTCTCAAAAGTGCTTCAAAAAATATACGAATTCATTGCAACCAGAGACGTAGGGTATCACACCACCCAACGGTTCGTAGTCGACAATTTCCAAAGCTTCTAAAATATACTTTAATGAATGGGAACGAAATTTCGGTGATTTTGAAAAAATAATAATTTTCCGAAAATTATTTAGTTAAAGATTGTTAAAGATACGTAAGTGAATTCGGATCCCCATTGTTTGTGAATTCAGCTGCCGACAAATGCCGAATTAGCTGCCGACAAATGCCGACTGCAGCTGCAGCTGCAGCT